CTTGTTCCCCCTCGCCTCGTCCACGGGCATCCACCTCCACACGTTCGTCTTGTCCGCCTCCCCGGGGTGTCGTCTCCTCCTGCCCCTCCTTCCCCCCCACCCATTTCCCCACCCACGCACTCCCCCTCATCGTCCTCTTCCAACTGCGCCCCACTCTCATCCTCCTCCCTTCCCCGCCCCTCTCCCAGCCCTCTCCCTCTCCCTCCTCTCCCCATCTCCTTCCCCCTCCTCTCGCATCGACTGCCCTCGGTTCCCTCCCAATCCCCTCCACTCCCCGTCCCCTCCTCTCCCCTTTCTCCCTGTCACTCCCCTCACTCCCTCCATCACATCCCTCCCCATCCCCTCTCTCCCTCCATCCCTCACACACGTCCCTCGCTCACTTCCCCCCCTCCCCCTTCCTCCTGCCTCACCTCGGTGGTCGTAAATGTGTCTGCCAGGCAGCCCTGCTCCTCGAACAGCTGCAGCGCAGTCTCGCAGATCTGCACGCCGCAATAGTGCGTCACGTACACGCACGGCAGCCCTGTCAGCTGGAACCGGAGGACGAGCAAGACGATACAAAGGATAAGATGAATACGAAGACGAATAAGGAGGATAACACTAGTCAGACGAGAATGAAGGACACTCACGGGAGCGGCCCGTGGGGTCGCCTCTCCCAGAAGTGCGACGAGTCGGTCTCCTCGCGGCATCGAAAACAATACAATGAAATGACAGAAGGTTCAATCATACATCGGCCCAACGCAAGAGTAGGGAAATGAAGAAAAATCGACTGGCAGCGGAGCTGGAGCGCAGCCGCTCTGGAGGAGGAGGAGTGCCGCGGGCTTCCCCTGTCGCCAGAAGGTCCGAATTCGACAGTCTGGCCGCTGGACGACAGACACGTGAGTGAGATGAGAGGTAGAGAGGGAAAGGGAAAGAGAGAGAGAGAGAGAAAACAACAACAACAACAACAACAACAACAACAACAACAACAACAACAACAAATATCAAGATAGGTGGCAACGGGGATGGGCGACTACTCATATGAGTCGCACCGAGCAAAAGATGCTAAAGATTTGCGATAGGGCGCGGAAGAAAATCTGTGTATATATATATATATATATATAGAAGGAAAAAAAAAAAAAAAAAAAAAAAAAAAAAAAAAAAAAAAAAAAAAAAAAAAAAAAAAAAAAAAAAAAAAAAAAAAAAAAAAAAAAAAAAAAACGCAGCGCAACGGGTGGCGCACAGCAAAAACTACGTTTAGAGAAGGGAAGGGCAAATTCGCATCCGTGCCTTCAGGCAAGCACTGGAGTGGTGAAAGGCTGAGCATGGTAAACCTGATCGGACAAGAACGGGAAGCGCCGCTTTAGTCTAATGGGCGCACTGGGCGAAGAAAAAGAGAAGGCAAGGGCGACGAGGAGGCGATGACGAGGACGACGTGGAGAACGTGAGGGTAACGAGGAGCAGCATGAGGACAACGAGGAGGAATAGAAGCACAAGGACGAGGACGAAGAGAACGAGGGCGAGCACGAGATGGAATGCGGAGGACGATGACGACGACAACGACGACAACGACGACGACGACGACGTCGACGACGACGGAGGACAGTAAGAGGCAGTTGGAGAAGTCCCTTGGGTCCTCCTGTGGGCTTCTCGGATATTCTCGGGCTGTTTGGGCGTGTCGAGAGGTTATTTGGGAGTTGTTTGTTGGGCCGTCTGGGCGCCATCTTGGGCCGTGTCGGAGCTTTCTTGGGCCGCTCATGGCCTCCAGGAGCGTTCCCAGGAGTCTCTTGGGGCCCTCTTGGCCCGTCTTGGGTCGTCTTGGGGTTCTTGTGAGCTGTCTGTGCGCCTCCTGGAGTGATCTTGGGGGTTTCTTGGGATCATCTTGGGGCGCTCTTTTTTTCACGCGACTCCTGCCGCGCGAGCACGGCTGCACAACGTCCTTGCCATTGTGCGAGACTGCCTTCAAGCAGATACTCCACACCAGCAAATTCTAGAGTGGGCTGCGAGACGGCACTTACGGTGCGGCAAGGCTCGAACCCGCGCTCAGAGGAGGGAAGAGAGAGAGAGAGAGAAACAAAAAAAAAAAAAAAAAAAAAAAACGTCACGCGACTCCTGCCGCGCGAGCACGGCTGCACAACGTCCTTACCCTTATGTGAGACGGCCTTCAAGCACGCTCTCAACACCGGCGAATTCTGAAAAAAACTCTCAAGGGGCTGGGAGGAAGGGAAGGAGCAGAACGAAGGAGAACATATGTTGCCGGGGTTCCACCCCGACAGATTCTCTCGGATAACGATGGTAGGATACTTTCTCTCGCAAGCAAGCGTGGGACCCACCCAACAGGAAGAGCGAAAAACCACAGACAGAACACACTGACTTGACTGTCCGTCATGCCACGACCTCCGCGCTTTCCTGGCTGGGAGCAGCGCCCTCGACCTCCTTGTTCTTGGCCACCCCCTTCGTGAACATGCTGCCTCGCTCGTCAGACCAATAGAAGCACACGGTCATCAAGGCCCAGAAGAGGACGTAGCCTGCATGAACGCGATACGTAGACCTGCATCTGTACGTAGAACAGCTGCGTCGCGATGACGGCCCCGAGGTTCCCGCCTGCCCCCACCATCGCAGAGACGGGGCCCAAATGCTGCGGGATCATGAACGGCACGATTCCGTAGGATGTCCCCTCCGCCATCTGGACGCCAAGCGAGAACAACAGGAGGCGTGGCAGCGCCGCGCTGAATGCTGTCATGTGGCTGAACAAGAGAAGCCCCAGGCCCTCGAGCGTCAGGGCCAAGAACTGCGCCCAGATGCGGCCAGGGAAACCCATGCGGGCAAACATGTAATCAGAGAATATGCCCCCCAAGGACCTCGCAAAGAGGTTCATGAGGCCAAACGCCGAGGCCGCAAGGCCTGCCGCCGAGACGCTGAGTACTACGCCGTCGCTCCAGTCGTAGTCCTTGAAGTGCAGAGCCAGGCGGTCATTCATCACGAGCTCCGTGCCAAAGCAGGCACCGTACTGCACGATCATGATAACAACGCGGGGGTCCTTGAGGCACTGCACGTAGTCCATGGGCGACACCTTGCTCTTTCCCAACTGCGTCACGTCGAACTTGCCGCGGGGCGCGTCCTGGGAGAAGAACCACATCGACGTTGCGACGGTCGAGAATATCGCAGCTGGAACTAACATGGAGACTCGCCAGCTCGCGGACTTGGGCATTCCGAAGCCGTTCAAGAACATCCTATAGATGAGCGGCATCAAGAATTGGGTGAACCCTTCGCCGAGATTGCCCCAGCCACCAGCGGTCGCGTTGGTCATGCCCACGATCTTTCTGTTGAAGAGGATAGAACTCCAGAACTGATTCGTCACGAATGTCGCCCCAACGGCGCCGATAAAGAAACGGACCACGATGAGACCTGTTGCGCCTGTGACCGCGGCGGAACTCGCCACAAATAGTGCGCCGAGGCTTAGAAGCGTCACCTGCACCTTGCGCGGCGCGAACTTCTCCAGCAAGCCCCCAAGCAACACCCGAACGAAGATTGTGCTTGCGACTGCTGTCAAGCCAGAATAGCCGATGAGTTTATTGCACTCCGTGCCAGTACCGCACTTGCACTTCCCCTTCTCGTCAAAGCCATCACACAAACCGATGTCTTCGCGCACAACTGCCATCAACGGTGCGAAAGCGAACCATCCGACGAAAGCCCAGAACAAGGAAATCGTGGCGAACCAAAATCCGCGCATGTGGGGGTTTGCCTCCTTCGCCCGGCCCCAAGAGAGCAAGCGAAGCGTGGTGGCCTTGCCCTGCTCGTCGGTGGGAAGATCGAAAGCCTGGGAAGCTGACAGCCCAGCCATCGCAACAGAAGACGACCTATCCCCGTGGGCGCTACGAGGGAAAGTGGGATGTTCAAGGATCGAGGCGAAGATGTCCCGAGAGAAAGAAAACAAATACAACGACTTGAGCCAAAATGGCTACGGATGATCATCCTGGGGCGTTGTTGGGCGTTCTTGGGGGCCCTCTGGGGCGTCTTTTGGGCTCCTTTGGGCCGTTCGAAAGCCCTGCGGGAGCGATTCCAAGACGATGTCGATTCGGAGCCCCCTCCAGTGCCGATGTTTTGAGGGCGTCTCGAGCGAAACGGCCATTTGTCAGAAACATGATCGAACAAAAACGGGAATCGCCGCTTTAATGGGTTTATTGGGCACAAGGACGAGGACGACGAGAACGAGGGCGAGCACGAGGAGGAATGCAGAGAACAATGACGACGACGACGGCGGAGGACAGTGAGAGGCAATTGGAAAGGACGTTGAATCAGGAGAGGGTCCTGGTGACCCTATCAGGCTACCCTGGGGGCTCCTGGCGCCGCGCGGGGTTGTCTTGGGGCCTGCTGGGGGCTTCTTGGAGGCCTATTGAGTCCTCTTATGGGCTTCTAGGGACTTATTGGGCTGTCTGGGCGCGTCAGGGGGTTCTTTGGGAGCTTTCTTGGGCCGTCTCGCCGCCATCTTGGGCCGTCTTAGGGGCTTTCTTGGGCCGTTTGGTGGCCTGCTGGGGCGCTCCCAGGAGTCTCCTGGGGCCCTCTTGGCCTGTCTTGGGCCGTCTTGGGGTTATTGTGAGCTGTCTGGATGTCTCCTGGAGCGCTCTTTGGGGTCTCTTGGGATCCTCTTGAGGCGCTCTTGGGCGCTCTTGGGCGCTCTGGGGTCCCTCTGGGGCGTCTTTGGGACTTACTTTGGGCCGTGCGAAAACCCTCCAGGAGCGATTCTAAGACGATGCCGATTCGGAGTCCCCTCTGGGGCCGATTTGTTGAGGATGTCTCGAGCGAAACGGCCATTTTTCAGAAACCTGATCGGACGAAGAGAACGAGGGCGAGCACAAGGAGGAATACGGAGGACGATGGCGACGACGACGACGACGACGACGACGACGGCGAAGGACAGTAAGAGGCAATTGGAGAAGGAAATCAGGAGAGAGTCCTAGTGACCCTGGGGGCTCCTGGCGCCGCGCGGGGTTGTCTTGAGGATGTCTCGAGCGAAATGGCAACTTTTCAGGACCCTTTCCTGACATCAACGGGAAGCGCGTGGAAGGGAAGAGTTGCGCAAGAACTTGCAGCATCATCGCGATCAAATGTAATGGAGACGAGCTCTCCGAAAACTCACAAGGGATACGTATGAACACGCGCCCCCGAACGTTCACGAGCATATTCCTGATTATCATCCTCACTCCTCCGCATGAGGAGGACGACGGCGAAGACGACGACCAGGGGAGGAGGGGGAGGAGGACGAGGAGGAGGAGGAGGAAGAGGAGGAGGAGGATAAGAATGAACAGCAGCAGCAGCAAGGGAAGAGGAGGAGAAGGGGAGGGGGAGGAGGACGAGGCAGAGGAGGGACAGGAGCAGGAGGAGAGGGAAAAGGACGACGGCGAGGAGGAGGAGGAAGGAGAAGGAGGAAGAAGGTCAGGAGGAGGACGAAGGGGAGGAAGAGGACGAGGAGGAGGAAGAACTGTTTTGATTCGCGGGTCGAGAGCGCACCTCTTCCGGCTGGAGCAAAGTGGGCCGCGCAGA